TCAAGTATTTTTGTGAGATTAAGTTTAGAGAAATTTTTAAAAATACCACTTTTCAAATGCCATTTTAAGAAAAAAAAAATCATTATATCGTTTATGTTTGGGTTAACTATGTTGTATTAGAGTTTAGTTTTCAGGTTTTAAGGGGTTTTATGGGTTAAAACATTTTTTAGGGTTTATAGTTTTAAGATTTAGGTTTTAAAAATCCATAATTAGGGATATTTTTGCAATGGACATTTTTAAATGACATTTTTGCAAATATACACAAAAGGTGGCATTTTTGCAATTGCCACTTAATTTTAATGGATATAAGTTTTAGTGGACTAATTGCAATAAAATAATTATTTATTTTCTCATATAAAAGTGTGGTTAATTTTCCTAAAATTTAATTAAAATCAAGAAAATTGGAAAAACATCTAATTACATGTACATATAGTATTCAACTTATGTACTTTATTAATATTTAGCTAAAGATATCAATATCTATAGCCGTGTGTGATTATGAAGATAACATTTATATTATCTTTTTAGCCGATAATTGGGCTAATAAGAGATTGACAGATTTTTTTAATGAATTTGAGCTAATTTAGTTAGAGATTAATTTTCTTAATGAGTTTGGACTAATTTAGTTAGGGATTAATGGGTTGGAATGCCATGTCACATTTTTTTACAATGACATGTCACAATTAAATTGGGAAAGTGATTTTGGTGAAGACATATAAGCAAATCACTCTCCAATTAATATATAAGAAATTTTTTTACATATAAAGGCAATTTTATCGGAGGTTTTCGAAAACAATATCTCCACGGTATATTATTGAGACAGTGATTCTTGAGACAGAGAGTTGAAATATCGTTAATCGAAGAGAAGAGGAAGAGGAAGCAGATGATCTACGACAACAATATGATTCACATGGTTTATCCCTCCGCTATCCCCAAAATCTCGACATGCCAAATCGATACATTTTGGATTGATCATATTCCGGTCAGTGAACTAGGATGGTGCCTAAGAGACTATATGGGTCTCCTCACTTTTGGTATGGGAAGATGTATACGAAGCAGCTCAGCACTTCATGCTGAGTTCGACGGACTGTTTGGGGCGATTGAGTGTCTAAACGAGAGGAGACTCTTTTATGTGAGGATTGAGACGGGCTGTGCAAATTTGTTGTCTATGACTATGCATCCACTAGATTGACTATCTTTTAGTGTAGAGTTTGACTAGTTCACTATGTTAAAACATAATTTTGTATATTTTAGTTTAGTTCATATCCCACAGATTTGTAATATCCAGGTCGACTCTCTTGCGAAAAGAGTTCGAGTACGAAATTATGTATTCTCTCATATAAATCAATATTTCTGTTTGTAGGTGTCTGTCAAGTACTGAACCATCCAACTGGTAGCACCTGATTTAATATATGGTAATTGTTGGAAAAAAAAATACAATTTCATCCCATAAGCTTTGATAATGAAGAATTATTAAAAAAACATTATTGATTTTTAGAGATTCCTGACAATTGTTTTGTTTTATACTTCGAGATGTTTAACGTGGGGATGCTATTGCTTTGTACTGATTCACCAACTTTTTTTTTTTTGTCATCTGAAATTTTATTAACCAATATAAAATACATAATATAAAAAGTCAGAAGGATTCCAGAATCTGCCTAGTTCTAGTTGTAAAGTGGTGAATTGCTGGCCTTTGTATTTCTTGTTTAAAATCGTACTGATTCACCAACTTAATAAAGGAACTAATTTTTAAATAATTAACTGAAACTAAATTGTTAACTAAATTGTTAAAAATAAAATAAAACGGTTGTTGATATGGCTGGAGAAAAGTTTGTGTACGTTTAAAGCTCATCTGTTCTTGTCACGTGTATTAGCTGTGGGTGGATTTAGATATTTATGTACATATTTAGAATGTCTAGTCTTTCAAAGATACCCCAAATTCCTTTTAAGAGTAGAGAAGTTTATATGACCTGAATCTTGATCAGGAGCTGAGTTCAATGTTGGATTGTCTGACTACTCAGCTCTCGAGCTACACCGGGTAACGCAACGTCACCACCAAGTATTAAAAGCATGTAGACCATCGAGTTATTTGAGCTTCTGTAAAGTCTGGTCCAAATACTTATAAAACTAGCTAGTCTATAGGTATAGATGTTATGTAGTAAATATATTACCCCATCGAATTACTTGAGTCATTGTAAGGTTTGATCCAAATACATCTAAAATGGGTCCATATGACTACTGTTTAGCAATGATGATTCTCTTAAATTAGATACATGTGGTATAAAGATATGAGACATATTAATTCCAAAAGAGTAGCTAACTAATTGTTTTGAATATTTACAATTGTTAATCTAATTTGGTGTTTTTAATATATCAATTTTATTTAGATTGGGAGTAGAATTTAGGTAGAGTTTGTTGATTTTAAAAATTTGGAGATTTGTTAAATTTGTAGAGAAATTTGTTAAGTTTAGAAAGAGTTTTGTGTATTTAATAAATTTATGAAAGAATTGTGTGTAAGGATTTTCAAAATCTCATATATATTATGAAAGTTGTAAAAGTTAAGGTTGTGAAAGTTGTGTTTAATGAGTAAAATTGTTAAGAACTATATTCCCAATAACACTAGATTTTGGTAGATTTACAGAATCATTAAAAACTAAACATTTCTAATAACAATGGATTTCATTATAAGATTATTAGAATTTATAAACCAACAACAGCGGATTGTTAGAATTTATAAACCAATAACAGTGGATTTCATTAAGATTGTTAAAATAAATAAATCAATAACAATAGAATTTAAGAATTCTTAAAATCATTAAGCATCCTAATCCCAGTACCACCTCCTAAAAATCGATGAATGTAAATATCATACTGGATTTGGTTACGGTAAGAACTAAGAATACTCACAAATACCCGGATTTGCTTTTCTAATATCCAATACTTGCAAAACGATTACAACATGTCAAAATCATCCTTAAGTAGCCAAAATTTGAGAAATTTTAAACCTTTATTAACGCATATGCTTTATGGGCCGATTCTTGACTAAAGTTTTATCTAGCTAGGTTAATTCCATTGGTTTGTTCTTGAAGAAATTGTTGGGCCTGTTGTAATAACGGTAGGATTTAAACCTATCCTCTGTTTCTGGATGGATATTTGACTTTAACCTATCTCCACTTGCTTGCGCTTGATGAAACTGCCAATTAATTACACACTTAAAATCATCAACTGTTTATTCAACACACATAAAGTACATATCTGAACCAAGCATTCAACACACACATATGAATATTTCACAGAGGAAAGCGATATTCTTACATACAAAGAAACAAACTTCAAACGATACTTGTCAGTTATCCTCGACGGATTTCATCAGCGGAATGCTCTGTTCATCGCAGAAGAAATCTGTTGGATCAACAATCGTTTTCACTCTCACCAATCTCTCGAAGTTGTTCTTGAAATACTTCACTCCCCAACTCTTTCCTTCCTCGTATTTTGTCTCTTCTTTTCCAAGATAAATCCCCAAATCAATGTCCATGTAATTGACATAAGCTCCTCTTGGAGATTTTCGAAACGTAAGGACTCATAAGATCGTAAACGCTCTCGACCCATTTCAGATATTTCTCAGTCTCTGCCTTGTTCTTGTCTTCCTCTTCTCTCCAGTAAGCCAAATACTGAATCTCATAGAGATTTCCTTCACGGTGAGGGAATGGCGTTTCGTGCTCTGCTATTTCACTCATTTTCCCACCAAATGGAGTGAGTATGACCTTTGCAAGCCGAGCCTCGGGCGCGTCTAATCGCTTCCATAGCTCATGAATCGCGGCCTCGGGTATCGGTTCTTGGACAAAGTCGTCTTTTCCCTTGAAAGATAGAGATGTTCGCTCCCGATTCGCGAGAAAACTGGTTGATTCTCCTTTAGGGAAATCAGCAAACCATAGTACAGATTCAATCCAACTCATCTCGGTGCAATCTTCGAGCTCAAGACCTAGTTCTGGAAACTTTTCTTCCATTAGGGCCAATAGATCCTTCACTGGACCGAGATAAAGTCCCGTGAACAGAGCGTTCACAGCGTTCTTGCTCGATCTCTCCAACGTTGCCCTGATGAAAAGATCATTGGGAACCTTATCCGCGACATACTGCCACTTGTTGATGATCGGAACAGCCTCATTCTCCGATGTTTTTACGACTTTAAAGACCGTTACAGTCGATGGAACCTCGACCAATCTAATCTTCCACGATAGCACAACGCCAAAGCTCGATCCACCACCTCCATGGATCGCCCAGAAGTACTCCTCACCCATTGCTTGTCGGTCAAGAATCCTCCCGCGGGCATCGATCACAAGTGCATCGACTATATCATCCGCGGCTAAACCGTACTTTCTAAGCAACGTACCGTAACCTCCGCCGCTAAACTGTCCTCCAACACCGACGGTTGGGTGAATACCGGCCGGGAAAGCAAGAGATTTGGTGGCTTTCCCAATCTCGTAGTACAATTCTCCGACAGTTGCTCCGGTTTGGACCCAACCGGTTCGGTTATCAACGTCTAATGTTATAGACCGAAGATTCCTTAAATCGATGACAACAAATGGTTTGTTGTAAGCGACGTAAGATTGACCTGCGTAGTGGTGACCACCACTCCGAGTCCTTACATGGATTCCATGTACCCGTGCGCATCGAATCGCGGTTTGAACGTCAGTGGCTTGAACCGGAGTGATGATTGAGACTGGTTTAGGTGTCTCGGAAACCGAGAATCTTGGATTTTGTATGGAAGAGTCTAAGATGGAGGAAAAGGAAGAGTCTTTGGAGGTGTATATGACTTTGGATTCAATGGTGTTATCGTTTAATCGACGAGATAGACATCGGAGAAAGTGGTCGTGGTTAGAGCCATGAGATGAATGGTAGCAGAGGTCTTAACCCTATCAA